AATATATATATATATAAATTAATTATATGTATACGAATCAAAAAATACAAATATTAAAGTAAAAAAAAAAAAAATTGAAAAATAAATAGAAGAATTTATATAAAAATTATATAAAATAGAACGTTTTAAAATCATTATATTAATTATTAATTTTGTTATATAATTTAAAGAAGAAGAAAGATTAAATTTAGAAAAAGGATTATAATTAAAATTAAAAATAATTTAAATTATTTTATTTTATGAAAATGTAAGGAAAAGCGATATTGCTTGATTTTGCGATATCGAAGAATTTATCTATCTAGACGATGATATATTTCTGCGCGCATCGCTTCCTCCATAGATTATTTGAGAATTAATTGATTAGATTATTCAGAAATAATAATATGTATATTGGTCTGAGAAATCAATTTGTATGTAATTACCTATCCGAGCTTTCCAATCTTCTTAATTGAAGAGTCCTCTGCGAGGCAGGAAACATAAGTATTTAGAATAGGCCGACAGCTAGCTTTGATGAAGAGATGCGCACTATGGGATATGTCTTTCGGTTTGCTGCACATCAATTCATATTGCAAGCATAAATATGCATTGACTTAAAATTGAAACTCAAGGTTATAATCCCTCGTGAAATTCTGCGATTCATTCTAGAATTTGTTGAAGACCGTTTTGAAAGTCAAAAATGAAATTTAGATGAAACGTAGTTCCATTCGTGAATCGTGAAATAGTACGGCCGAAAATATCGAACTATCGCGAGATTTATTTTTGTGAAAAGAATTGAGAGAATAAGAGATCACGCATGATAGGAATGATGTCTAAAAATATGCAGGACGTGAATGCATTATCATGCTCCCTCCATGATTACATCAGATGCTTATAGCTATCATTCGAAACATCTGTTGCAGTCAGGTTCATAGCAGAGAGAAGAGGCTCGGTCTTGCATTTTAACGTACAATGATTTTTTTATAGATTGCCTAACTCTATTGTAATGTGAAAATTTAAAAAAAATTATTATAAAAAATAACGAAATAAGCCTTTCGTATCCTTTTAAGTGAAAATTTTAATATCACGTTGAAAACTGAATAGATATTAAATTTTCATAAAATTATACAATATACAAAGATGAATGGGATATCGTTATAATTATTACTTCTTTGATTTATTATTATTTAATAATTGCGTTCGCGTATTCGAATATTTGTTGAATTTTTCATTGCAGTTCGACTAAAAATACGTATATATATATATCTTCCTTGCGACAATTTGTCGAAAATTATTTCAAATATTCTTCCGAATAAAATCAATTCAAAATATAATGATATATATATATATGTTACGTAGAGAGAATAAATCTCGATATTCTTATTTCCGTAGCGCAATTATTCATCGTTAAAATTCTTACAATAGGAAATTAATATTAATCGTGAATCGGAAATAATTCAAGAACGCAAAAATGTGCCGGGAAAAGAAGTTAATTCGTCGAGCAAATATATCATGGAAAATGTAACTCGGCACACTTTCAGCATATCGCACAATTTCTCGCAAAAGTAACTGTCGTTTTAGATTTACGATACATGGTTGGTAGGAAAATTTGTTATAAAATCGATTCCTTCGTTTTTTCTCGTGTCATATATCATCGAACCGACTTCAGTGCATCCCTCACCCGGTGATTTCTCTCTTGGATTCCGATTGTCGCGATTGTCGACAAAGAACATCTTTTCCAGTTGGAAAAGTGGTTATAGAAGGGATCGAATGCTCGTACGAGCGTTAGTTATTAATTGATGGACGAGCACGAGTGAGATTTAACAGATTGGGAGTGAGCCGGTAGTGCATACGAATCGAATGTGAATCGAGATAGAATTCGACAGGGTTCTGTAAGGAAATTCTCGGGATCGTTCAGAGCGCTACACGGAATCTCGCATAATTGCGGCGCGAG